TAAAACCCCTACGGCCCTTTAGAGGTGGCTAAACCGTTCCAAAGCCTTAGACCCGTTTACAGCCCGCAGAGGTTGGCCAGTAATGGAAATGCCTTAGGAGTACGCCAAACATCTTGCTGCTGTTTACATCAAGTACCTCTTCCAGCTCCTGTAATTGCAGCAATTCATCTCTTTTCTCATTTCATATTGACAGCAGTGGTCCAATCCTGCTCGTAGCAGGGTCAGCAGCAGAACTGGGCTACTGAAGTCAGTGACACAAAAAGAAATGAGGTGCCTTGTACAGAGTACTTGCAGAATCACTTTCTGGGAGTTTGGCTGGAGATAACTAGGCAGGAGCAGAACTGGGCCCCGAGATGGCAGTTCAAGTGTTTCCTCCTTTTGGTTTTTGCATAAGGACTCTTCTTCAGTCATTTTGATACATTGCGTTAAAACACTGTCATTTCCTAAGTCCCTGTCTTCTTTCCACATACCTCCTGGATTATTTAAAACTATATTTAATACTGATCTTTCTTCTCATCTAAGAAAGTACCAGCATGAATCCTGGCTTTTAAGTTATTAAAGTACCAGACATTTTTTTCTGTGAGGTCTCACACGCAGGGGGGGGAAAAAAATCTGAAACCCTTCCATTTTTTCAGAACAAAAAAATGAAGAAGAAAAATGAAAAGGGGTGTTTATACCTAAAGCAAACTTTGGAGGAATATTGCTCTCCAGAGATCCAGCCTTCCATTTGTGCACAGGCCTATTCTGCTTTTAATGCAGGCGTGGAATATGATCCCAACTACACTGACAGGCAGCAGCGTGTTAAGGGACCTCAGACAATGTCGGCACGGCCTTGCGGGCACAGGAAAATTATCATCTGCCAAAGACACATAAGAGTGAGGGGCTGAGCCAGACCTCCTCCATGTCCGCGCACACAGCACCCAGGGACCTTCAGCAATGCTCCAAAACTATGGCATCCAAAAAGAGGATTTTCTTTGTCTTTCTGGCTTTCTCCCACATCCCACCCTCGTGGGCAATAAAAGAGGAAAAATCATAATTCTTAAGAGAAATTCAGCCATCCACAATATAAGATACCAGGGGACGAATTCCTGAGTTATCCCTTTTTGTACAGGACCTAAGAGGATCTGGTGTTGTGGATAATAGCATGGACATAAAGTTTTAATAAACCTCCATGCTTCTGCGGCCGTTGCCCACTAAGCTATTCCTCCTTTTCTAGATGCCCTCACTATCTCAGCAATCCCTCATGATTTGGACTCTCATGTCAAAAGAGAGAGAAGAGCTGCAGCAAAACCAGAAGGAGAGGATTCTGCTCCCAGGGGACTTCAGCAAATTTTTTCCCAGCAGTTTCCAGAACACACTGAAATCCTGTCAGTGGAGTAAAAGCCAAAGGCGCTGGAGAGAAGCATCCTAGAACCATCGTACTGATAGAAATGCTCTTGTGATATTAAAAAGAAAATGTGGTTTAAACATTTTTCTGCTCAGTAGAAGTCCCTTCATAGAACACAATAATCTGGACAGACTGACTAGAAATGTAAGTCAAAAAGACTGATCTATTTTCATATATATATACACCAACTTAGAATGTATATATTTTAGATTTATAGTGAATAGCTCAACAGTGTCCCCCGAAGGATGTACTGTAAGAAAGAGGTAAAAGATGACAAAGAAAGAGAAAAAGAGAGATGAATAGGGAGAAATTAGTGAAAATCCTTGGGAGAAATAGTTCCAGCTACTTTTCTTGTAATGATGACAGAGTTCTGCAGTTTTACAGGAGATCAATTAGTTGCTGCAGTGATGTCCAATGAGCTGGACTTCATGCTGGACTTCAGCTTGTTGTGCCCAAGAAGCCTCTCCGCGTTTTCAGGGGGCACCGCTGTAACAGAAAGATGAGTCTGATGCAACTCCCTCTTCAGCCGATCAGGGGAGCAGTATTTTTTTTGTAGCGTGATCTCATTAAAGACCACCATCCCACTGTGCACAGAATGTGCACTCAGTGACTCCCCAGTGGACGCCAAGATGTCAAAATTTTTGCCAGACTGATACTGAAGTCATCCAGGCAGACCACCACAGCCAGGCATCGAGAGCCGTGCCAGCCTCACCAGCGATGTCCCTCAGTGCCACCAAGCTCATTTGGGAACAGATGTTTCTGCAGCATTTTCCCTCGAGCACTGAGATGTCTGTGCAGAGCCATGATTGCTCTCGTGCAGCCGTGTTCAGCTCGAGGCCATGATCCTGCAGTGAGCTCTCTGTGTTCGCTGCGAATTCGTTGTGGGAATGCAGCTATCAATAACAGCCGCAGCAGGATTAGGAAGTTCCTTCTATTCACTTAATATCACTGTGTTTTTTTAAACAACAGCATCAATGAGGCTTTCATTTTTTTGCAAAGGGGAAACAATCTGACCATGATGAGTTCAACTCTGGTAGAGTTTTCTGTAGGGAATCCATTTGCTGAGCCAGTGAGTCCATTGGCACTTTGCAGTAATGCCAGCGCTTGGTAAAAATTGGCCAATGTGCCTCTAAGTACTATTAATGAAGTTAATTAGCAACAAAAGTTTTCAAATGTGAAAAAGCTACAGGCATAGCCATGGTTCATTAAGCTTCTCAGAAGCTTTAAACAAATCTTAACTGCATTTCTCAGGGAAAAAAAAAAACCACAACTTTTTCTAGTCGAAACATTTTAGCAGCTCTGCTCTATGTTATGAAAACAGCATCTAAGAACATTGGCATCCTCTCTGCAGACAAACTTCACTGAAGGAGAGAAGGAAAAATGAAAACAGAAAAACGTGCTTGTCCAGCATTGTGGGTTGAACATGAGGCTGGCTTCCTTCTCCTTCCAGATGTCCAACATCTGGGAGGATCCAGAGATGCCAGAAACAGTTATGGATAAGCCCTGTGGTCCAGCAGCCTTTACCCTCTTTGGTCAGCTTTGGGACTGGGGTGCTCACAAACCTCCTTTGGGTTAAATTACTTCTCGGGAGCCTCCATCAGCCGACAGAGACACCAGCACTATTGAACATGGGCAAACACAGCTTTTTTTCTTGAACACCAAATCTCCACATGCTCAGCAGGTTCCCACAAGTTTTCTTGCTCCCCTGCAGGCAGAACAGGGGAGCACACCTGCTGGAGCTCAACACCAGCTGAGCCACGGAGGAGATAACATGCGGTCAAGGTGAGGTTGCCACTTGGGACCGCTGATCCTTTTTCTCTCAACCACCAGCTTTCTGGCTGGTACGAGCAGAATTACCCATGGTCCTGGGTAGCTCCTTTGTATCAGCGTTTTCGCCTCTGTCTTTGATACCCTTCATCTCTCCATCTTAAAGCAAAAGGATTTACTGCTGGAGAGCCATCAGCAAAAAAACAAAACAAAAGCAGATGCTTGGGACTGTTCAGCAAGGCATCTCCTGACTCTCCTCCTCTCTGGCAAAAACCAGCACAATGGGTGTCTGCTCCTTATCTTACAAAATAGGTTCAATTTAAGAATATAAAGCATTGCTTGGTGGACAGGGAATGCCTTTTGCTTTGCAACACCTGTGGGTATAAGGAAGATTGGTCCTGCTTTCCTGGCATGGCCAGCAGTAGAGGAAAGCCTGCAGGTTGTCCTGGGGGAATGCTCACCTGCAGGTAACCTCAATGATATCCCCTCTTTCCGTTCAGATGGAGCTGATGGAGCATTTAAGAGGTATTTAGGAAGGAAAAGAGCATAACATTTTTAATAAGCAATTTGCCTATGACAGTGCTGGTCAGTCCAGCATATCCCTCTCACATAATTAATCAAGACCAAGTGCTAGATTTGCTATTGTCCTTTTTAATAGCATTATGGCAACCCAAGATTTAAGCCAGTGCTTTAATGTCCCCGCCTTGTTTAATACCATTATTGCATTATAGATTTAAGGTAGCACTTAGGTGGTAAATTTTCAAAGCAATGTCCGGGATTTAACATCAACAAAAGTTCCAGCACTAAATCTTCTGCTCTACTTTGAAAATGTTCCTCTTAACCTCTCGTCTGCTGCTTTACACCTGACCTAAATGGGATACTTTTAGGGTAGTCCTCGTGTCAATTTAGTCTCTGGTGAATCATAGGCTCCATGAGACAGATTTCACCCTGATGGAGACTTTCCCATGGTGCAGATCTGGGGTGACAACTGATAAGCAAAGACACTATGCTCACCTCTTAAAGCTTCATTTTCATTTGAGCTAAATGGCTTTTATCTTGACCAGCAGAGAACAGGGTTTGTGGCAGGCTGTAGAAATTGGGGGAAAGTACCAGATACCTCCTCTCTCCTTACCCGTCCAGGAGATGCAGGTTTGCACAGAACTGGTGCTGTTGCTGCTTCTTCATGCCCAGGTTTGAAGTCTTTCTGATTCAGGTAGTGAGATCCCACCAACAACCACAGGACAACATGTCTTCTTGCTGCTTCCCAATTAAAGCCAAAATGAGATTTCCTTTGCCGTGCCCTGTGAGTCTGGTTTTCTCTGTTTTTAAGTCTAAGCTGGATGTAACAATTACTCATTTAAAATCAGGGGTCGTTGTACCACTAGCAGCTGTTTAGTTGAAATATTATCCAAACATCCCTTCAGCTGATAAGCTTATATCACAGTCTCTAAATAGGAGTGAGACTCGATTTCCCAAAGAATATCCCTCCTTAAATAGAAACCTAATCAAATACATTCAGCATCCTCATTGGTTGCCAGAGCCTATTTTCCAATAATCCATTTTCTGTGCCAGAGTATTAAGTCCAGTAAACTGAAAAAAAAAAAAATTGTGTAGGAAATTAAAGTTAGTTCATTGTGGCAGCTATCACTTTAGCTCAGCCTGCTGCATCACTCCTAGCTGCTGTGAAAATGATTTTGGAAGCAAAATTCTGTTATTGCACCCTGATATTTCCCCAACAGTTCCCTGAAATATCTGAGAGTACAGAGCTGTGACACGGATGGCAGGGTCAGGCTAAAGATGCCCAGGAAAAGTTAATATGAGCAGAAGCTATGTCATTTCATGGTCTATGCCCCTGGAGCCCTACATACGCATCGAGCCTCCCAGCAAGCAGATTTTGACACAGCTGGAAATATTTGTACCTGAAAGTAAAAATATATACGTTATTCACAGCCAGTCAGGAGACAAAGCCAGTATCATGTTGCCTACATATTTGGTAAGATTTAACCCCTGCTAATCTCCTTGCAGATGAAACACAAATAGTTTTCTCACATATAACAAGAAGAACATAAATCCTTCACCAGAATTATTTACTGAATCACCTTCCATGACCAGTCATCAAAGGAGAAAGCAAAATAGTAATGAATTGAGACAGAGGTGATGGGAAGCTAACAAACAATTCACATGGTTTTATTCCTTTCGGCTAAGTCCCTATTCCACCAAAATCAATGAGAATAGAGTAGGATGAGTTATGATTTATTGCTACAGTCAGATTTCATTGTGGTGCATTACAGAGGTCGTGATGATTACAGGTGCTCTCTCAAAATGCTGCAAACGCAGTGACGTATTTAGAAAGCATCAGATGTCAAACACCAAACTGTTTCCAAGGCAACTTATAAAACATCCCATCACACAATGAATCAAAATAATGCCTTTCCCAGTTTTTATCTTGTTTCCTTTTGGTAAGCATTAATTTCTCAACACACGCTAATCCAAGTTCTTCCTTGGTGTAGAGCCATTGTAGTCAGTTCTGAGGACAATGTAGTCACACTAGTCTAAATTTGGCAGAGTATGTTGCATCTGGAGCATAAATCAACTTGGCTTTGCTTGATTCCTTCCTTGATCATGCACCAGATTATCAGTGATGACTGAGAATTACTCAAAGAGTAGATATTGCTAGTTCACTTTGTTATCCTTAATGTTGTCTTGTCTGTGTTTGCACTAATCATGCTCCAGGATGGATTTAATGATGGTGTCATCAGAAAGTGGTAGTGTGTTTTTTGAATTCTTTGTGACAATATAAGCCAGCTGATGTATTGTTTGTGATATTTTTCTGCTTATATCCTTAGCACGGATGGTACAAAGATGAAAGCAACACTGTCAAGCTAAAATTCCTATTTGCTATCAGAAGAGATTATGTTAAACTAGCTATACTTGGGCCAGAGGTACCTTAAAGACATACTGCAGTGACAAAAAGCATTACCAATGTGAAGATGCAATTGCCTTTCATGGGAGCTTAGCTTCCAGGTATGACTGATTGTTTTAGGGCAGCAGTACTGACAGGCTGGGCCAATTTTATCAGTTGGAAATTTCCCTCTATTTTTATTTGATTTATTTTATTGGAAAATGTTCTCAAAATGCTGGTGTAGGGGTTTTGTGTATTAAGCATCTTTCTTTGCTGGAAGGGATGTGTCAGGACATTGAAGTCCATCTGATCGTAAGAGCTAGGCAGTGACTTTCACAGGGAGAAGGAAGGTTGCGGCTCGGACGACCTGAGTGCTGCTCTCATCAGTTTTTGCTTGTCACCAGGAAGTGAGCGAGTCTGCAGGGTGCTCGTGGTGAGTGGACACAAGGGACTTTCAGCTGAGCCTCCTTCAGGCTGGGAAGCTCAAACCCTCACTGCTGCCAATCACCCCACGGTGTCTGCAGGGACCTGGGCTGGTCCCCCAGACCTGCCTCCAGAGCACTTCAGCTCAGACCGGTACCTGCTGTCCATGGATGCTCTGGTACCTCTGGAGAAGAACTCTGAACACAACAGTAGCAGAAATGGAAAATGATCAGGAGCTGATGACTGGCAGAAGTACTGGATGTGTGTGGAGAGTGTGGTGTAAGATCAGTTATGGTTTGTGAATGGTGCAGCTGGGAGGGGCTTTCCAGCACCAGTAGAAATGTGTCTCCTGTTAGGTGAGAACTGATGATGCTTGAAAAGATTCTGTGAGGCAAAGTAAGTGCATAAACTTGTACAAAGGTTCGACCTGAAATAAATTAATGAACTATTTTATTCCCTTATGTGGCTATTTTATTTGAAAAGTTGAGTTCCCTTCTTTTTTTTTTTTTCTGTAAACTGTTTACAGGGTCTTCTCCAGCATCTTCATTATCTGAAATTCACCCAGCAGTATCCAAGGAAGATCGTTGGTGCGTACATGGCTGGTGGGGAGCATGATACAAGGATCTTGCAGAGCAATGGGCTGCCAGTGGATTGGCAGTAGACATGGGGCCCTTCCCTCAGCCGCTCTCTTCAGAGTCTGCTGCAAATCAGTGGGCAAAATTTATGTGGTGCCTTGTAAGAAAATGAGGGTTTGAGAAGCTTTTGGCAGAGAGGTGTACCCAAACCCCACAGGCACACTGGTATGCTCGCTAGTGCTCTGGAGAGAGGTTGAGGGTGGAATATTTCTCCTTTTCCAAAGGAAATACTTCCAGCTCTGGGCTGGGACCCTGCGCAGACTGGACACAGTCCTGAGGATGCCATCCTAGCAATGTTGACAGCTGCTTGCTGGGACTGAGGCTACTTCCCTGTTGACTCACTATCTTTAAAATTAAGGCAGCATCTGTTCCTAGGGTGGAAAGAGGGCTGCTAAACAGAGAAGCAGCGAGGTTATGTTTTATGGCTATGGGACTATTTCCCTGATGTAACAGGCAGGTGCTCAGGCTGTGTTCCTCGAAGCAAGAGCTAATCTGCCCCAAGCATTGGGCATGGACTCACTGGCTGTCCTCTTCAGGTCAAATACTTTGACCCTATGATCTGCTTATGCAGTGTCTCCTGTATGTGGCTGAGCGTTTTCCACCATTGTTAGGGAATATCTACTGGTATTTTGAAGGACAGATCCCCTTTGTGATCTCTGGAAGAGACCAAATATTCAGTTGACTTAACTTCATGCTTCCTAAGCAAAGAAAATAGATAATCCTCGAACAACACAATGCAAGAAAAGTTCAGAGATCTGCAGTCGCATAAGGAAAGAACAGAGGCTGAGTGAGGAGAATTTTACTCATGCATTTAATTATGTGAGTCAGCCTAAATAAATTGGTCATCCTAGAAGACAGCTGGGATCCGGGATCACAACCACCTTCAGAGGTCCAACAGCAAACATTTGTCATCTCCCAATTAGTGCTGCTCTGCTGGCATAGAGTCCCTATCTCAGCCTGAAAGGGGCCCTCCCTGGAGATCCAGTGAAACATTGAATAGAGGGTTATAGATGGTAGAACAAGAAACATATTCTGATACAGTAATAACACTGTATGTCTATGCAGTAATGACAGCTCATATCTAATGCTTCACAAAGATACCGCAGCATTTTATCTGGAGAACAGTGATACTCTCATTACAGGCAGAATTAGAGGTGATGTTCATAGTGAAGCTGTTGAATGCTTTTCCTCATAAGACCCCCTTCAGATCAGGTCATTTAGGGGGGGAAAGCGTTTTTTACTTATTCAAAATCCACATGTACAAAGGGACTGAATTATGACTGGTTAGGCAAACTGAATTCAGGGCATATCTTACACATGGAGCATTTGACTATACAACCTTAGCGTCATCTTATTGCTATTTTTTTTGGAAACAATTTCCCAGATGAAGATTGAGGAGTATGAAGAGTTGTGTTCATAGAAGAACACAGAACAAGTCAGCACCAGGTAGAAAGCAAAGGAGACAAACTTTCTTAGTGAGAGAAGTCTCATGTTAAAGCCTGACATGGCTCAGCTGCAAAAGATATGCCCCACTGTACTTACATCAGGGAAGAGAGGATAAACTTTTATAAAAAACTAGCTGTTTCTACTCTCTATTGAGCTTTGTCTATTAAACACAGTGCCAAATTGAGGTCAGACCATGGAGAAATACCCTTAGTTCCTTTTAAAAAAAAACTTGCTTTTTAGAGGCAGATTAATTTTGAGAAGTAAAAGAAAGACACTGGCGCAACATTTTAAGGAAAAAGATGGAGTCTGCTTTTCCTGAAAGCAGTATCTTCCCAACTCCTTCCTTTTTCCATTAAGAATAACTATCAAGAAGGCTGATGATTACTTGTGGTTTATAGCTCTCAAACACCAGACAGCAAGGAAAGATTGACTTTGCAGCAGGATGATAGTTCCGAGACTTGGTTACATGTCAGTGAGTTATAGATTTTATTCTAAATTAAATGAACCATTACATGTTCAATATTGTCCACTTAGAGAGCTGTAAAACTCTGAAATAAAATTAACAATAAAAAAGAGAAATTATCTAATGAATATGGGAATGTAACAGGGGTGCAGAACTTCCCTGTCCTTGCTGGTTTGTTTCATGAGTAATTACTTTCCTCTTCCTTCTACCATGCTTAGTTACCTTAGGCTCTGATAACAGTGTGATTGCCACATTACAGCCTTCAGCAAACCCATGCAGGGTCCCATATAAGGATTCAGATGATGATAGCCAGCTGAATTTCCTGCTGCTGTCATTACAATCAACTAAACAGAAACTACGGGGGGGTGATGGCTCATGCTGGGCTGTAATGTAGACATAGTCTCTGCGCAAGGTATCTTCTGCTGGTGAAGATCAACATGATATCAAAACCCTTCTTTGCAATTAGAGATCAAATACAGCAGTTTAGCTCAGGATTAACACTGGCTTCCTGTGGATTTCCGGATGGAAACTGGTATTTTGGCTTACCCCTACTAGCAGCAGACTAACCACAAATAAGGACTTGCCAGTGGCCAATGTACTAATCCATGGCTTGGCGATCAAAACTCTTCATGACTCTGTGTGTGTGTGTACCTGTGTGACGCTAGGGGCATAAGATTTAATTTCTCTGTGTCTTAGGTCTCCATCACCAGGGAACAGTTAGTATTCCCTTTGGTACGCTGATAGAAATGCCATTCATTTTTAGGCTGACATTGTAAAGGCGCCCGTACCTTCACTTTAGAATTACTTGTGTCTAAAGGCAGCATCAAATTCCCATGTTCTCTCTTCACTTCCTGCAAGCTCTTCCGCAGAGGAAAGCTTTTAAGGAAAAAAAAAAATGTCATTCAGCTTGTCTCTTTTTGTCTTTTTTTACAGACACTTCCAACAATGGAAAGTTTCACAAGAGGTACAGCCACAAGAGAGCAAGATGGAAGAAGAGTGCTCTAAATACATCTTTTGCCAGCAAAAAAAAAGAGAACGAAGTAAGTAGATCTTAAAAAACTTGTATTACAAGTTTTCTTCTTGATCACACTGTAAAAATCTTATTCATTTCAATAGAATTACCCAAGTGTAACTTCAAGGAGAATTTGGCTTACGTGGGATCAGAGCAGGAGGCTCGGGAGTAGAGCCTGGCAGGATGCCAGAGGTATTTCATTCCCTGTGGCTCCTTTGCCTGGGAAGGACACTGAAAGGGAGAAAAACCCACAGCATATGTACTCAAAACATTTCATCAAACAGATCGCTCATCCAAGCCATGGTCAAAAAGCCTGTTCTCCAGCTCCTGTGATAAAATGGGCAGAGCTCTGACCTGATGGATACTCTCTGCATTGGAAATCTGGGGCATCATTTTATGCAGTACAAAATTAAGTCCTGTAGACAGAGGCAAGAAGTGACATTTCAAGGAGGGGGATTTCTGTCTGAATACTGGGGGGGGGTCACTGTGCTGCCTAATGACACACGAAGCATTGAACCAGTGCCACTCCCCAGCTCCCAGTCAAAACA